ACTCAGATTTCAAGCCCAGAAAAGTTCATCTAGATGAACCCCTGCTAAGGCAACTTCAATTAGAAAGAAAAATCTCTTATTATTTATTGCTACCTGGAAGAAAGTTTAGAGAAGGAAGAAAGGCTTAACATGGTATTGACGTGTTAAGCCTTGACATGGTATTTAGACTTGATGTGCAGTGTGGTGTCAGAAAGAATAGAATTAACTTTCTTGGTTGCACGCGTGCCTTGCAACTTGCTAAAGGGCATCACGTGAGTCTGTGTCAGAACATGCGCAGGTACATTACTTTCTGGTTCATTGTGGATCTGCTGGATGACATGAAAGTTGGATAACTACAAAAAGGTGAATTAGGATGAATAAAACTTGCAAATTCCAGCAACGGGGAGATACTTTTTTTGAAGGCAGTTGCAGGCATCGATCACTGACATGATACTTGGGGTCAGTTAGGCAGAAAGGTTCAGTGCCATTTTTACTATAAACTAAAGTTCTGTGGGCAAGCTCCCTTGAATCATTTGGGAGCAACGCATACAGGACCTTAGAGCTATTTTATTTAAATGGTTTGCAAGCTGTCTTGAAGAGTGCAACCTGCTTAAGGCTGCATGTGCAAGAATAGTGTTGAAAGCCATTCTGTTTCTAAAAATTGCATCAAAAGAGCTTCTATCAGAAGTCCTAGTATGCCTAAATTTGTACAAAGATCTGAAGGTTACAGGAAAGACACAACTTCCTGATGTCTTAAGTAGATTTGTTTTAGAATCTTGCAGCCTCTCCAAACAAGCTATCAGCAGAAATAAGCCTAAATCATGAAACTTTGGCTATCATCTAACTGATTTCAAATTAGGACTGATGTAACCTTCTTAGGTTGTTATTAGTAATTTAGATGTTGTTATTGTCGTTGCAATGTTTTGAATAATAATACTGTTGTTGACACTTGAAAAAGCTTCACATTCAGCATATCCTACAGCACTATCTTCTGCAGTTCTGCTTCGAAATAAGTCCTATTGTCTTATGGAACATGCTCCAGGCAGAGTGTAATGCATTCAAGCCTTAGCTTCTACGAATATAAATTGAGCAAATATTACTTGCATCCTGAAACTAGCAAAGGGATTTTGCATCTGATTCCCTCCCCTACACAAACGGTATGGGAGGGTGGTGGCTATGACTGGGTTTAGATGGTCCTGTGCACATTGTTAGGTGGGATTGTATACGCAGGATCAGATGGATTTTGCGCTTTGACAGAGAACTGCTTATGTGTTTCTAGACTGCTTCACCCGTTGCACTAAGCCATGGCTTATTCTATAAACCACAGTTGGAGGAAGTCATGCAACACGTGAAGCCAACACCAAACTATTCATGTGGTTGTTTAGTGCAGGGTATGATCCCAGCTACTGTGTGGGAGTCCTAAATTGGGGCGCTTCCTTAATTTGTGGCTATCAAAATTAACAAGGTACATGGTTCTGATAGGCAAGTGTGCTGGAAGGTTAGAGGAACTGGTAACTGAGCTGAATTCACTTCTCCGTGTCAAGGAGCTGGCTCATTTCACTCTCCCCCCCCCATTTCTTTATATTAATCTCTTCCATTATTTGTGTTCAGTTTTAGACATCCTTTACAGCCTCGGTCACTCAATCAGAACTCTGTACAAGGGGAGGGTCACTGTGTGATTGACATACCGATTGCCGAATCTGTAAACCCAGCTTCTTTCATGTGGACCTTGATGGAAATTTCTATGAGTGCCCCAAATGCCTTGAGAACAGTTTCACAGCAGGCTGATTTAAAAGAAATTAAAAAGCGGACACAGTTTTTCTCTGTTTAGAAATGTTGGGGGAACTGTAGAGTCATGTCTAGCTCCCTGTTTAACACCATATGGGCTAGTAAATTGCTACCTTAAACCCCCCCCCCCCCTGAAAGCTTTGAGGTTCTAGAGAAGAGAAGAGCATTAATTTTAGCATAGATCAAAATCAACTACTTCAATATCGCACTTTTCAAACTTTGTGCCTTTCCTGTAACCTTGACTTGCTTAACAAAAACTCTGCATTCTAGGATGTAGGTGCTAGCTCCAGTTCACAGTATGGAGCTTGAAAACATCCAGCAGTCCTCTGAGAAGATGGGTTAGGATGGTCTTTTCAGCAAAGTAGATTTCTTCTTACGAAGGGTCTTGGTAAGAAGCCACAGGTAGTGCCAATACTTCATATGCAGAAGATCTGTGGCTCAGTCCCCTAGAATCTCTCATTCAGGCAGTTGGGAAAACCTTGGTGGAGACCAGAGTGGGGCTCCCCTCCCCCATCAGGTGCCCTCCAGATGTCTTGGATTTCAACCTCTGTAATTTCTAGCTAATGTAAGCAGAAAGTGCATAGAGTCTGGGCTTCTTTTCTGTCTTTATTTATGTATGACTTGTATCCTGAATTTTTATTGTTAGAAATCACATCTTCTTCCCCACCTTTCCATCAACACATGTTCATCCTCTGCTAGGAAGGAACAGCTTTCCAGAGATCTGAACAGATTACTGGCAGAGGGCTGTTGAGTAATGTTGAGTATTGCTTAGCATTGGTCGACTAAATCTTGCATCCCAAAGAATATAGGTTGCCCACCTTGTTCTAAGACAAACAATTGGTGGTGGTTTTGTCCAATATAGTAAGGACTTAAGCACTCCACCTTATCTTGGTTAAACATCCTTTGCAATCATCTGATTCCAAACAGACTTTATTTTTAATACACCATGTCCCTTTCAATGTCCCTCTATGTGTCTGCATCTGTGAATGCACAAACTATGTGTTACTGTTATTACTTTCCCTCTCTCAGATCATTAGCCTATTTTTTTTAGTCTGGGTCCAAAACAATGCCAACCATTATTCAGGAAGTTCTAATTTTGGAGCCTGATCAAGAAAGGAAGGCTTGGTATCTGAAAAATGCATGCTGTGAAGTTGATAGCAACTTCTCCTTTCAGCATCAACTAGATACAGTAAAATAGAACTGGGTGGCACTTGGCTTGGGCAATGGAAGCCTCTTGTCCTTAGAAAGCCTAGAGTAAATCACACAGAGCGTAAAGTATATCTTTTTGGAAATATACTGGGGGATGCTGATGAAGTGGTCTGCTCAGACCTGCTAATGGCGGAGATCAAGGTGATTCTAAGGCCAAACGTTTTTGAAATTGACAAGAGCAGTAGACTAGCAAGGACAGGCTACAGGTAGTCCTTGACTTGTGACCACACCTGGGACTGGAATTTCCATCATGACCTGGGGAAGAAAGCCTCATGTGGCCAGCAGCTGCCTTGCAAAGGGCCAGGCCAGGCATGTCTTGTCAGCAGCAGGAGCAAAAAGACAGCAGTCAGTTGAGGCTGTGGAGTGCAGAGTGGCAGGGGGCCAAAAGGACATAAATGGAGGGGAGATAGGTGGGGGGGGAGTTGAAGCACCCTTTTAGTCATAAGTGTGGGCAGGCTGCCAAGCACCTGAATATTGATCACATGACCGTGGAGGTGCTGCAATGGCCGTAACTTTGTCCTGTGCGGCCATAACTTTGAATGGTCACTGAACAAATGGTTGTAAGTCAAGGACTACCTGTATATGGTCAAAGATCTATCCTTCAGAATGGCCTCTGAAGTTTATTTCAGGGTTTTAAAAGAAAACGCTTCTAGGATGCTTCTCTAGGTAGTGTTCTGTGGGTGATGTGCTGGATAACAGCAGTGGCCAGAAGTATTTGTTGTACTATTCATGGTTCATGTAGAATAGTCCTCATTGTCCAAGAACAATATTGGCAAAAGTGGGACAAACCATGATAACAGAAATAGATTTGTTGCCTTTCATACTCTACAAGCAAGTGTAGCTTTTTTATGTACCTATCTGGCTACATGTGACGGTAACTGAAACCAGATTTAGAACTGGGTTGCATTTATGTGAAGTTTCCCAATCTGCTTGAGTCAGAAGTGGAAGTATTGCTTTGTGGAAAGCCAGGCTCCAATTATTTAGGTGGAGAGGCTTGGCTTGAGCCAGAGGCCTTATATTTCTGCCAGAACAAGAAGCTAATCTTGTATGTTATACTTTAATTCATTTTTCTTAATTCAAATTAATGGGAAGGAATCTTTTAATTTTTTGTTTGCTTTGTTGTTTCAAAGGGGAAGAAAATTTCAGAGACATTCTCCTGGCTTCAGAGTCATATTCTTGCATTTATTTCATGACAAACTGGCCAAGGGGACGGTATGCGTGAACATCCTATATGTCACCGTGCAATCATCTTTCTAGCATTCTTTTGCCTCCATGGCTTCTGACCCCTCCGTTCAAGCTCCAGGGGAGGCTTCAGATCAGTAAGCCTTGAAAACCTAGGAAGCTGCTGCCCTGATGTGGTTGGACCTCTGGTGGAAAGAGATAGCAGAAAAGAACTTTCATATTGCCAAAAGAAAGGCGTTCAGGGCCAGCTCTACCACAGGTCAAAGTAAATAAGGGTTGCAAATGACAGATACTGCAGCTCAGTCATGAAAACCCTCCTTAGTGGAAGGCAGAATTGTGTGAGCCTTACAGCTTGTCCTAAACAGACCTTTTGCTCTCAGATGTGTTGGAAGACCTTCTTGGATCATTAATATTGTGGAAAGATTTACCTGTCTGGTTGGTTTCTGGATCTAGAACTGATGGAAGGAGGACCTTCTAAAATGTCTTGGGTGGACTGCAAGGCATGTGCCAAGAGATGTTTTCCTGTTCAACACATCAATGTATAAGTTTGGGCATCCTTTGAGATACCCAGATGTTGCATTTATATTTCAGTAATATATCATGAAGTTAAAATGTGTCTGAATGCACATACTATGTTCAACCAAAATGATCTTGTTTCATTTTGGCTTTGTGTCTTGGGTGAACACAGTCCACTGTCTTTTGCTTAGCAAACCATAGTTAAGGAACTTTCCATGATCTCTGAAGTTCAGAGGGAAAGCTTAGAAAACCAGGGCTTGGCACAGAATGCAAAAACAGTTTATGAATTTTCAGTAATACCTTTCTTTTTCCTGATGTGAATCTAGGGTTTGAAAGAGGAAAATTCGGAGAAGTTGAAGAGTCCCACTTCAGAAGACAAAGTTGGCTGGATCAAGAAGAGCAGTGGGGGGCTTTTGAGCCTTTGGAAAGAGCGTTACATCCGGCTCCGTAAAAATCAGCTCTTTTTATATGAAGATGAGGTAAGAAAAGGGGAGAGAGTAGTCTTAACAAACCTTTGGACTTAGTCCCAAACACAAAAATGGTCTCCCTTGGCTGTTGCTTGAATTTGGTTCCTTCTCTTTCTCACTGGGGATGTTTCTTCTTCTTTTAGAACTTTGAGTCCGAAGGTCATCCATTAAAGCTTTGAAAGACAAAAGAAGTATAGGTAGTCCTCACTTAGCGACCACAATTGGGACCAGCAACTCTGTCACTAAGTGACATGGTCGCTTAGAAGAACATCACATGGCTGCAATGGGCTTACAACCTCACTTCTGCTGTGGTTGTTAAGTGAATCACCACAGGTCATTAAGCAAGACATCACATGACTGCGACTTGCGATTTTACTGCTGTCTTTTCCATTGACTCTGCTTGTCAGAAGCTGGCTGTAAAGCCTGCAGATGGTGATCGCATGACCTCAAGATACTATGTGATGGTCATAAATGCCCACCAGTTATGGAGCGCCCAAATGTCGATCACATGGCCATGGGATGCTGCAGGGGTTGTAAATGCGAGGACTGGCCGTAAAGTTACTTTTTCAGTGCCGTTGTAACTTTGAACAGTTGCTAAATGAGATGGTCGGTAAACGAGGTCTACCTGTACTACTTCACATATTACATAATGGGTTTGTAGAATTCATGGGTGCAAGATATAGCAGTGGCCACTTACTTGGATGACTTTAAAAAGGGATTGCATAAATTAATGGAGAACAGTGGATTAAGGATAACTGGGAGAGAACTCAGTGTTATGTCCCAGTAAGAACAACATGCATTCAAATACCAATTATACAACAGGGGGAGAAGGGTATATCTCCATCTCTTGCTTGTGAGCGCCTCAGAGATATTTGGTTGGCTACTGGGAGAAACAAAATTCCAGGTTAAGATGGACCTTGCCCTGATCCAGAAGAGCTATTTGTATGTCTAAAGATCTGAGTCACAGTACCCTGTTTTTCTTCTCTCTCCCTCTCCCTCTCCCTCTCCCTCTCCCTCTCCCTCTCCCTCTCCCTCATTCTCTCTCTCTCTCTCTCTCTCTCTCTCAAAAAACTTCTAGTTTACGCCAATAGCAATAAGTTGCCTAATATATTTATTCAGAAGAAGCTAATAGTTTCCAATTATTATTCTTGTCCTTCATGGTAGCCAGCAAACTGGATCTGCATGGGAACAGCTGGGTGTATTCGATTTTCCAGGTGGGCAGTAGGCTTCACCTTCATGAAGCCTTCATCTGGCAGAGAAGGCATGCTGCGGATCCCGTCTGCTAGAGAACTACATTTGGCGGGTCCCAGGAGGCAGGCCTTCTCTGCTGTGGCACCTGCCTTGTAGAATCTCCTTCCCCCGGAAGTGAGATTAGCTCCATCCCTCTTAACATTCTGTAAGTCCCTCAAGACCTGGCTATGTGATCGGGCCTGGGGCTCCCAGAGGACTGGGGAGATTTTACGATGGCTCCCTTATTCATTTTATCCCCTCCTGTTTTGTGTGCTTTTACTGTTCTTTATATGTAGTTGTTTTTATGTATTTATTTTGTATGTAGTTGTATGCC